ATCCTAGAGATTTATTCCCACATGTATACAAAAACACATCTAAAATTAAGGATGAGTACTCCATCCTCATTTGTAATAGCAAAATGAAAATTAAGGCTCAAGCAGGGTGCAGTGTCACATGCCTGTAATCCCAGCTACTAGGAAGGCTGAGACAGCAGGATCACAAGTTCAAGGCCAGACCAAACAGCTTAAGGAGACCTATCTCAAAATAAAAACTAAAAAAAAGGGATTGGGAGTATACAGTTCAGTGGTAGAACATCCTTGGGTTCAATCCCCAGTACCATTTTTTAAAAAGGCTCAACCTAGGACACTGTACCCCAACTACTGCCACACTGCCTCATTTTAATACCCTCTCAATCTCTTCACCCCTCAACACCCCCCATCCCACACCCCCACACCCCTTCATGGTACTAGGGATTGAACTAGGGTCTTGCACATGCTAGGAAGGTGCTCTACCACTAAGCTGCACTCTCTCAGTTCTGCCCCACATTAAAGATGTCTAGTAGCGGCAAATAACAGTTCTTGCCTTGCAAAGCAGTTAGCAGTGGCTGACTTTGCCCTGATTGGCCTCAAGAGATCTAATCAAGTGAAGCTGGTTCAGTTTCCAGCCTGAACAGGAGCTATCCACACTAATGTGTACATTTAATATACAGTATTGTTGACACTACATACCAGAATTGGGGCTGAAAGGACTTGGATCAAATTTTGGTAAAATCCTACTACTGAAGATTCCAATAAGTTTAGAGTGTACAGGTAAACTGGTTGATAATTTGTTTTTTTTTTGGGGGGGGGTGTTAATTGGGAATTCGACCCAGGGACAATTTACCATAGAGCTATATATCCTCAGCCCTTTTCATTTTTTGAGACAGGGTCTCACCAAGTTGCTTAGGGCATCAGTAAATTGCTGAGGCTGGCAATTTGAACTTGTAATCCTACTATCTCAGTGTCCAAACTGCTGGGATTACAGATGTACACCACAGTGTCTGCCTACAATTTTAATAATAATTTAATATTCTGCTAATTTATTATTATTTTTAGTATCCTGCTAGAAGATGGCATCTCAATGAAAGGGGCAAATTTTAATTTCAGAAGACTCTATGAATGACCCACTCAAGCACTTAGAGCTAATATGCAAAAGAACCTGGATTTGCCTGACTTCTGTTGACTCCAAATCTTTCATGTCTCTTTTGCTTCCACTCTACACTTGTTTTGTTTTCTCCGGTGCATAAGTGAGTGAAAGCAACATTTCAGAGGATATATCATGAGTGGACTGTTGATGAAACAGAAGTCACCAGTGCATTTTCTAGCTGAGGACTTTTTTAAAAATATTTTTTAGTTGTCAATGAACCTTTATTTATTTATTTTTTATTTATATGCAGTGCTAAGAATCAAATCCAGTGCCTCACACGTGCTAGGCAAGCACTCTACCACTGAGCCACAACCCCAGCCCTAGCCTATGACTTTTAAAACCTGTTTTTTTTTACATATTTCAGAACTGCTCAGGCCTACCAAAAAAAAAAAAAAGTTGACCTTCAGCTAGGACAATGACTTTGTTTTCAGCTGAATCAAAGACATCTGACTACATGACAAAGAACTGCTGTCAAGCCTTGGGGAAAATATTTACTTCCTGCAACTGATTTTCCTCTCAACTCACAAGTTGAGTGCTCCCAAATAGCAGTTTTCACCTTCACAAACCTATCATTTTTCTTGTCTAAGCCCAAAGTCCATTTGTGCTTCTCTAGACTCAAAAAAATTCCAAAGTAAAAACAAAAACATGTTATCATTCTGTCAAAGAAAAGACATTAGCTAAAACAATGGGGAAAGATTTTATTCAGGAACCACTGTGTCACATGAGGGAAAGCACTGGGCTACATTTTGATTTGTGTAGAAGTAACTGGACTTGTTAAAAAAGAGAATGAGGGAGTGTGCCTTGAGTGAGAGAAGTGAAAAATAACAAAGCTTTGGTCAGTGTAAATGCAATTAGGCCTGGTGTGTCTGTTAGCTGGCAATTATGGAAGTTAGGGTTCTATCCTGCCACAGAGACGGGGAGACAGAGACCTTATCCTTCCCAATGATTAAATTTCAAAAGTACTCTCAGGTCCTTCAGAGGGACACTTCTTAAAGGATTACAGAAAAACTCTTTTCATTAAATGCTCTAAGAAACGGAAGTCATGGCTGTATTGATCAGGAGTTGGATAGAACAAATATTTAATTCTCCTATCAACTTTCAGCTTTTTCAGGCAAGCATTTTATTTTGAAATTTTTGTAGTGCTGGAGATGGAACCCAGAGCTTCAAGTGCTCTGCCACTGAGCTATACCCCATGACCATATTTTAATGGAGATCTGAGGTCATGCTAGGGCATGGCCTTATGCGGCTCCAAGCCACTGTTGTTTCTCAGTGTAGACATTTGGATGGAGTTTCAGGAGTTACCCGAACGGAGTACTATCCTTATCTGTTTCACAGGATAGGCTTTTCTCCACAACTAGCTCTTTTCCTGCCTAGTACAATCAACCTAATGGTCAGTTGAGTGAAAGTAAAGAGCAAATTTACAACTCCTTCATTTCATTAAGAGCTATAGTGACACTGGCAAAGACAGAAGTTTGGAGTCTGAAAATAACTGTTTAAGGGTCCTCATATACTGTAAGAAAAATTACAAGATGAGGAAAAACACCCCATAGGACAGGATAATGCAGAGATCTAAGTATCAGAATCAAAACTTATTTTCTGCTTCCTCAAAGACAAAAAAAGAAAGAAGAGAGCACAAACAAGAACAATATTTATTCTCACAAGTTGTTAAGCACATTTGTGAAAACTTTAAAACTTTCATTACAACTGGCCAACGATGTGACCACGATTTCAGGGCAATAGAAAAGGCAGTACAGGACTGAACAGATTTCAAAGCATGGGTTGGTTCAAGGAACATTCTCTGTAGATTATCTTTATGGACGATTTAATCAAGACGCTCTCTCATCCTAGATAAAGCCCCCAGGCTGATGGGAAAGAACGATATGTAGTAAACAAATATCCTCTTAACAATGTAATGAGCAGTCTTAACAGAGATCTTTTAAAAGGGTGCAGTGGTAATAGCAAGAGGACTGCCTCAGAAACGCAGAGATACCGACCTAACCGCCGCTGACACTTCAGGATCTTGGAAAATGAGTAAGGGAATCCAAGATTGAATCCGACGTCCAAGCTAGGGCGACTCGAATCAATCCCCACTTTGACTAAGGGACCTTCTATATGCTTCCCGTGGCGGTAAACGTCCCTTGTAATTAACAAACCCCCTCGACTTTTCCGTCGCGCCGCTAAACGGTGATCTCTGTGAAGGCAGAGATGGCGACATTTGACTTATATAAATCCAGTGTGTGGCTCAACAACCGTAAGGGGAATGAATGACTCGACTAACGAATAAAGACTGCGGACCTCCACAGAAGCCAGCAGGACCGGCGCCTCTTCCTATCTCCCTGTCCTGTCTGGTTCACCCAGGAAAATCCTAGGTTCAAGACAAGACCCTGGAAGAGAGCAAAGGATAGGCCGGGAAACTAGGAACCTCACTGGTGGTCCAGGGTACGGAGGGATCACGCTCCAGGCAGGCGTTCCTGAACCCGAGAGCGCCACTCCTCTCGTTCTTTTACTTACATTCGCGAGGGAAAGATTTCGATCCGGTCTTTGCCCGACATTCTGACGATGACAGTTCGGCTCGGATCCCCGGCCGGGCAATCGAGGGGGCAAGAGCTCCAGTACTGGCCGCTACCGTCCCTTCCTCTACTGGAGTCAACGTTTGTGTCACATGACCCCTCGCGTTGCTAAGAGGTAGCAGGGATACCCATTTTTCACTTCCGCTTCCAGTTGTCAGAGACGTCAGGGAATGGGCTGGACACAGACGATGCCCGGATATGAAGGCGCGCGCACCGCGGAATTCCGGTTGGACTCCCAGCCCCTCCCCTTCCAGCTCCCTGGCTGCTGAGCAAATCGCTGCACGTGCTGAGCGAAAAAAGAGAACACCTCTTCTCTTCCTCCATCTTTCGTCTCTAGTCACAGCGCCATCTCATGGTTAATTAAAACTTTGAGAGGATTCATTCTTCGAGGATAACGAATCAGAATCTTGCCTGCTTGCCATGCCTCGGAGGATACTAGTAAAAATCTAAAGATAGCTAGAAAACGTAATTTTTAGATCCTTCTGTGGTCCACATCCCTGGTCCTCGGAGGACCCACACTCTATGATCGATGGAGAGGAAGGGCCTTTTCCTTCGGCGCTTGCGTGGTGCGAGGTGGTTCCGCATGCGCGCTGGGGTGGTGCGAGGCGCACGCTGCGGCGGCTCGGCGGCTGGTACTGATCTACCAAGTCTGAACGTTCGGACTAAAGAGCTCGACGCGGGACTTCAGTGCGGGATTCACACACATACCTCAGGTGACTAATCCCGCAGTTCGGTTTACCCGAGAACTCACTTTAGTTTGTCTACTGACCAGGAGTGGTCGACAGGATAGGCCCCGAGCTAACTCCCCCTCCTTTTCCCGACCCGGCGCGGGAAGTGTCTGGACACCATCGCCACCGCCCGCTGATTCAGTCAGGGCCTCCTCTCCGGCTCTGTGTCGGTCTTCCTGTGTGCCAGAGCCAACGTTGTATCAGCGGAGAAATCTCGGGAAGGAAATGGGCCAAGTGGATTTTACTCCCTCTTCAGTATGTTTAAAGAGAGCATGCCCCGAGGTGGGGCGACCTCGGGAAAACGCTCTGACACCCCATCCCTGCTCCGGGGCGCTGAGCGCTTGGCCTTTTTCCTAGTCTGAGAATTATTTTAAATCTGTATGTCCCCACTTCTCCCGCCCAGCGATATTGCCAGAAATTTCCCGATTCTCTGGAATTCATACCTGACTCTCAGACAACCAGTAGAATGGGCTCCCATGCGGAAAAGAGCTGGGTCCTAGAATAGTTTATTAATCTGATAATTAAAACTGAAGTTTAAGATACCTTATCCCTCGAGTTGTGCGTTTCTGTAGAATGAATCATCCCTTGAATATTGTTAGTATCTGTTCGTCTCATTTTGGAAACGGTGAGAATAGAACTGTAGTCTTAGAATTTTGCATAACTAAAGCCAAAAATTTAGAGTTAAATGCCTGTACATCGTACGGTCCCTTTAGTTATACGCCAAACTTAGGCTGCTTTAATTTTCGTTAAGCAAGAAGCACTTTTTTTTTTTTTTTGAGAAAGAACTTGATATAGAAGTCTTAACTTTCTTCTCCCAATTGAGACAGTTTGAAAGTTTTGTTTGTATAGCACTTACAAACCAAGAATTATTTTAGAGGCGCATGAGTTTTCCCAACACAATACACTGGAAAGCAATGTGGACTTCTGTATCCATTATGGTGACTTAACCATGCTCTGGTTTAAGGGATAAGTCCTACCAACCACTGGCAACATTACTGACAATGCAAAGTATTTGAAATTAGTGTGAAGTTTGGTTATTATCTTTCAAAAGATAATTGATGTCTTTTATATCAGAACACATAGCTGTGTAGTGCTTTGGCCTATTGAAGCTCTCTAGTTAGACACTCCAGATTTAATGTCAGAAGACTTGATTTTAGCTTTTGCTTTGGTAATTGGTATGCATTTATCATTGAGGAAGTCATTTAATATTTCTATTTCTTGGCTCCCTGTTAACTCATTGTTTCACTATGTCTCTTGTAGTACTTTATATTGTAATTGTTTGCATACTAGATTGTTTCCAACTTTATATTTAATTCCTTAGGTAAGAATCTTATATCAGTAATGTATAGTACCTAGTAGATTAACAAATTAAGTTATAAAATGGAAATGATACTTCGTTTGCCTTTTTGAATTTTAGGGTAGTATGATACACTTTTCAAAATATTTTTACATATATTTTCAGTGGACACCTTCACAAACCTGTGAAGTATTGATGAGAAAAGCAGTTCAAAGCGAACCTTTCCCTAGCAACTATAGATAGTAAGTAGGGCAGAACAAGGGGCTACTGGCCTGACTTGACACTTGTTGAAGTCCAAATTTTAAAAATCTGAATGTTTTGAAAATGATAGAAAAGGCCAAGTAAATATCTAGTGTGGTTTCTGTTTTCCTGAGGGGGGGAAGCTAGTTTTTTTTAAAAAAAACTCACTTTAAAAAAAGTTACTAGCAAATGCTAAGATGACATGTTCAAATCTATTAAACAATATGCAGATGGTTGTAGTGACTAGCTACTTTCCTTCTTTGCTGCGAATAACATCATTAGCAGCATTACATTATTCTGTATGTTGCGAAGAGATTTTTTTGCCTCCTAAAGAAGTAGTTTTTATATCTCTTTTCAGGATTCTTTTACCCTATTTTCTAACTTCCTATGTTTGTTAACCATTAAATTAAACCTTGTTTCCCTGAAAGCATCACTTTTACTTTTTGGAGAAACTTCGTGAAAAAAAAAGAAAATGTAGTTGATATCTGTTAAATCTCTAAAAATTGCTCCATATCATTAATTTGGTATCTATTTGAGACTCTTTAAACTTTCAAATGTAATTATGTACAGATATTTGGCAACAGCTGCTCCCCCACCCCTGAAAGAGCCCTGTTTTAAAATGAAACAACCATTTCAGCTATTTCTTAGTGGATAATTCTGGCCATTGAGTGTCTGCTTCCTTTGTTTGCTAAATCCTTATGTTGTCAAGCTACAAGAAAAATACTTCACTGCCACATATGTTGTTTTTTGTTAAACAAGATAGATTGATGCTAATAGTTTGCCTGAATTTGTAGTATATGCTACCACACTGAATATCTATATTGAATTTGCTTTTTGTTTAAGGTTTTTTTACTGCAACACATTTGCCAGTAATACTGAGAGAAAATATATCCTGATTTGTAAGAACAAAGACTCTGGATCCAAACTTCATAGGTATCAGTATATGAAAGAGCAAGTTGGTTTTGTGCCTCAATTTCTTTATCTGTAAAATGGTGGAAATAAGTAAGAAAGTGGTACCTCAAGTAGATAGGCGGTGACCAGATCATATAAGACCTGGTAGGTAATGGAAAGATATATAAGTCCCGTGGATATCTTCCCAGTGGTAAGGTGTACATGGGTGACAGGTGGCAGCTCTATTACTGCACTGCAGCATAACTCTGGTGTTCCATATGCTGATTGTAGGTGGTCTGCCTAAAGTCAGTTATTGGCAGCCATATTTCCCTGTTAACAAAAATGTTATTAAATAAATTTTCATAGATTTTTCTTAGGCTTTTAGGTCCTATTACTCCCTGTCTTCTGAACTCTGCCAACAGTAAATGGGTTAAGGTTAATAGAAAAACGTGAAAATCATCAGCCACTATTAATTTGAGAGCCTCTTTGTTCAAATATACTTCTAGCCATGACATAACGCCAGCTTATGGATCATAAGAAAGGTGGTACTGAACGTAGCCTAGGAGTTGAGAGAAACTTGAACTTTGTAGTAAACGGAGATTTATAAAGCTGTTCTCAAAATTGGGTACTCAACAAAATAAAAATTAGAGGGGCAAGTGTGTTTTAAAAGGAAAAAAAATGTTAAACATTTTGTTATTAATAAATTTTTAGGTTTTGGTTTCCTTGATACCTGATACTTTAATTTTGGCTATAATAAGTCATAATGGGCTGGAGATGTAACTCAGGGTTGGAGCATTTGCCTGGTGTGCCTGAGACCCTGTATTCATTTCCCAGCACTACAAAATAAGAAAGATTGTATATATCATTGGTATATTGGCTAAGGGTTAAGTTGTCAGAAAATTCTTCCCTTTACTTACTGGGTGGTAACATGCAGTCTTAGCTGACTCGGAGAAAGAGTAGCTTGGATTTTGCTGACAAGTTTATAAAAGTGGTGATGCTTCCCATCATTTCATATTCTTTAAAGTGGTAGTAATAAAATAGTATTTTATTCTTGAGGTATTCCTTTAATCCTTAAGTCTCAGAGTACTTTATAGATGGTCATTATTTTTTATGATTTCTCTAAAACTGATGGCAAAGGATCACCCAAGCTTACAAAAGGTAGAGCAAAATAAAAATTAAAGCTTGGTTCCTGGATACCCATCTGTTTTCTGATACTATTTAAGAAGTTCAAAGAGATGAGAAAACAAATAACTATATTTATCTTTTATTTACTTTCACTAGCAAGATGTAGAAAATTGACATTTATTTTGACCTTAACTGAACACTTAATTTGATTCTCTTGCTTAAATTGCAGAATGCCGGGTCTAAGTTGTAGATTTTACCAACACAAATTTCCTGAGGTGGAAGATGTAGTGATGGTCAATGTAAGGTCCATTGCTGAAATGGGAGCTTATGTCAGCTTGCTAGAATACAACAACATTGAAGGCATGATTCTTCTCAGTGAATTATCCAGACGGCGTATCCGTTCTATAAACAAACTCATCCGAATTGGCAGGAATGAATGTGTGGTTGTTATTAGAGTGGACAAAGAAAAAGGTAAGAGAAAAATATCTTAAGACTTTTAAAATTATAGTCTGGAGGTATAATTCAGCTCAAGAGCATGTGCCAAGGCCCTGGGTTCTATCCCCAATACTACCCAAAAGGAGTGGGAGAGAAAAATTAATAAAATAATTATAAGAATTCAACTCAGTTTATTTTTAAATATATGTATTTTTTTATTTGTGTACTACTGTTTAAAAATTCCTTTCTTTCTTTTTTATAAACCAAAGTTGCTGGAGAAGTATGTCAGTTAGCCATCTAAGCAAGACCACTTGGGTTAGTATTTGTTTATTTAATTACAGGCTGTGCCACTGTGCCTGGCTAAATACATATAACTATTTCTAAGCAGCATTTGTACAGTATTAATTAAAAAGAAACAATCAAAATGGAGACTTGTTAAATAAATCAGTGTGTTTTTATTCAAAATGAGATTTTGAATATTCTGATAGGAAAAGATCTCTAGGGTAGGATTAAAGAAAAAATCAGTTGAAACTTTTAAAATAAGAGCTACTTATCAGGACTGTGTACATATATAAACCCTGGACACAGAAAAATACAACTACCAAAAGACAATGAGAAAAAAGCAAAAGCAGGGCAAAACTGAAGGCAAGTCAACACTTTGAAGAAAGGAACTACACTGGATGTTTTATATTTTGCAGTTTTGTATTTTAGACAGTCATAGCAGGTGGAAAATGGTAGTAATGATAGCATTAAAGGAGAAATCCACAAAGGAAGACCCCTTAAGTCTGTATGTAAATTCTGCCCAAATCTCTGGCTGACCCATGAACTACTAACATATAAGAGTAGTATCTAAGCAAGCAGCCCAACAGGATTAAAATCTGAAGATTTCAGCTACTTCCCACAGACAGTAAATTGCCTATTAAAATATTTTTTTTTTTCATTGGGATACTGGGGATTGTGCCCAGGGGTACCCTACTACTGAGCTACTCCCTAATCATTTTTATTGTATTTTGTTTTAAAACAAGGTCTTGCTAAATTGCCAAGGCTGGCCTCAAAGTTACAAACAATCCTCCTGCCTCAGCTTCCTGAGTTGTGGAGTTTAAAAATCATTATTTTTTTTTTTTTATGGGGGCAGGGGTAACATTACCAGCGATTGAACCCAGGAGTACTTAAAAACTGAGCCATATTGCCAGCCATTTTTATTTTTTATTTAGAAATAGGGTCTTGCAAAGTTGCTGAGGCTGGCTTTGAACTTGGGATCTTATTCTTAAGAGTAGCTCGCAGGAATCTAGAGTCTCTGCCAAATACTCAACAATGTCCAGGATGCGTTCAGAATTGCTAAACATTCTGTTAAATGGTTTGGGTATGAAGTATTTCCCAAAAGCTATGTGACAGTGCCAGGAATGTTAAAAAGGTGAAGTGATTAGTTTATAAGGACTGTGAGTTAATTGGTGAATTGATCCATTAGTAACTATCATGGCCCTTCTGCCATGATAATTCTACCTGATCTTAGGTCCAGAGCAATGAAATCAGGCAACCATGGACTGAACCTCTCAAATAGTCCCAAATAAACTTCTCCTCCTTTAAGTTGTTTTGTCAGATATTTTTGGTCACAGCAGTGTAAAGCTGACTTAATACACATACAAAGAAATAGGAAAATACAACCTCTAGAAAGAGAAGGCAGTCACTGAAGACCGGCTCAGAAGTGATCCAAATGATGGAATTAGGAGATGAGATTTAAAACCAGATGTTATAACTGCTTAAAGACATTAGGAAAATATACTTGTAAGGAATGAACAAAATGAGATCTTAGAGAAGTTAAAAACTTTTTAAAGAAGAAATAAATATAAATCATAACTGAAAAATGTATCTGAAAAATTCACTGTATGAGCTAACAATACATTGAAGAAAACAGAAGGCTCAGTGAAACTTGAAGATGGTTCATTGAAAATAAACAAATCAGAAAAGATAGGGGTACAAAAATATGGAGAGAGCCTCAATCATCTACCCAATATCAAAAGCTCTATTATAATAAAAGAGACAAGAGAAAGGGGGCAGAAAGTATGTTTGAAAAAGTAACAGCCAAAAGTTTTCTATATCTGTTTAGAAAAGTAAATTTTGCAAAGTACAGCCTTCACACAGGGTAAATGCTAATGAAACTATGTCTAGGCACACCAATTACTAGGAAAGAAAATCTTGGAAATAACTAGAAGAAAATAACATGTTACATACATAAGAATGCTGATACAAATTACTATGGTGTTCTTATTGGAAATAATAGACACCTAATATTTCTAAGCCAATGAAAGAAAAAAAATTTGTCACATGAGAATTGTGTATCCTAAGATAATATTGATTAATGAAAGTCAAAACAAAGACATTTTCAGGTAAATAGAAACTAAGAGAATCAATTGCTGAATTGAGCTGCATTATAAGAAATAGTAAGCGGGGGCTGGGATTGTGACTCAGTGGTGGAGTGCTTACCTAGCATGTGTGAGGCACTGGGTTTGGTCCTTGGCACCACTTAAAAACAAATAAGTAAAGATATTCTGTCCACCTACAACTAAATATATATATACACGCACACATACACACACGTGCATAAATATGTGTGTGTGTGAAAAAAAAAAAAGAAAAAAAAAACTCCACACGAAAAAGAAAAATATGAGAAAAAGTAAAAAACAATATTACACCCCTTATTAATTTTTTTTTAAATTCATTTATCAGGCTGTGGTTGTCGCTCAGTGGTAGAGCACTTGCCTAGCATGTGTGAGGCACTGGTTGGATCCTCAGCACCACATAAAAATAAAAGTATTGTGTCTGTCTACAGCTAAAAAAAATTTTTTAATGCATTAAGCTGTTTGTCTTTTTTGTACACTTAAGATTTTAATTTGTTGAAGATGACTGATGGTACAGAGAGGTCAATGCCATCAAAGGAAGATTTTTATTATATTTCTTGAGAGAAGGGGTATTCCCATACCATGCCATACCTTGCAGTTTTAGTCAGAAAGCAGAAGGAGTTGCAGGAAATCCTAGGTCAGGGCAGGATAAACAACTTAGAATTGGCTATTTTGAATGATTTGGGCATATGTGGAGGCACAAAGGCTTCTGCCTATTGTCTGGTATTTCCTGGGTTGATTTGGGGCTAGTCTTAGGGGACATTCTTATTCTAGTCATTGAAGCCACAGATGTCAGAATATAGAAACTAGAAGCCAGGTGTGATGGCTCATGCCTATAGGCAGCTACTTGAGGAATGAGGTTCACTTTGGAGCCAGCCTGGGAAACATAGCAAGACCCCATCTCAAAAAAAAAAAAAAAACAGGAATTCATGGGCTGCAAGTATAGTTTAGTGGTAAAGCATTTGCTAAAGTGTTTAATAGAAATGAACATAAATAAAAAAGAATACAGAAAATATAGTTAATACAGTAATCCACCCTTTTCCTTGGTTTCACTTTCCATGGTTTCCTAACCATTCACATTCCATAAATGTTATTTGTCTTAACTCTTTCAAGAGAGACTATATTCACATAACTTTTACTATACAATGGTGTTCTAATTATTCTGTTTTATTATTATTAATCTCTTACTGTGTTTAAGTTATTAACTTTATCATAGGGATCTATATTTAAGAAAAAACATTTATCACTTAAGATAGTGATGAGTTTAGCTAAGCACAACGATACATGCTTGTAATCAGCTCAAGAGGCTGAGGCAGGAGGATTCCAAGTTAAAGCCAGCCTCAGCAATATAGTGAGGCCATCTAGATTTGTGTAAATGCACCAGAGATTGAAGCCAGAGGTGGGCACTCAACTACTAAGCCACATCCCCAATCCCTTTTTTGAGACAGGATCTTGCTAAGTCTCAAAAAAGGGATTGGGGATGTGGCTTAAAAAAAAAAAGATAAGACATATGTTCTGAGAAATGCAAACAACATAAAGTGCATGTACACAAATCTAGATGGTGTAGCCTACTATACACCTAGTTTATATTAGACCACCTCCACTCATGCAATTGACCAAATGTTGACCAAAATGTCACTGTGTGGTACATGTGTGCATATTATATATCTGTGTATAAAAGGATTGCTACTATCCAGTTTCAGGCATCCAAGGATAAGGAGAAACTATTGTACAATGGGCTGTGTTATGAATGCCAAATAGACATATAGAATCTAAGAAAATATAGAACATTGTTTAAAGTAGACATAATACATTGACAACTAAAACACAAAAGCAAGAAAATATAATGGTAAATCTCTGTTTAATTTTTTTTTTTTTTGAGACAAGGTGTCACTGTGCCACCTAGGCTGGCCTTGAACTCATGTTCTACCTGCCTCTGCTTCCTAAACACCTAAAACATAGACCTAAATCCATTTATATCAATAATTACATTAAATATAAATGAAGCGAGTATTCCAGTTAAAAGGCAGAGATTATTATAATGAAATAAAAGACAAGATCCAACATTAATGGTGTCTTCAAGAAATGTAGTTGGTTTAAATAAGTGTCTGGAAAAATATACTATGTGAACAATGCCATAAGGAGACTGGGGTGTTTATGTTAATACTAGATAAAATAAACTTAAAGACATATTTCCAGAGTAAAAAGGGACATTTTTTAATGATCACAGATCATTTTGTTAGAATGACAGCATGGTCATCAGTATATGTGCTGAATAGAGATTCATGAAATATGAAACAAAAATGTGTAGTCAAAGTTAGAAACTTGAAGAAACTCTGAACAGCTGATAGAACAACTACACTTAAAAAAAAAAAATCAATAAAGACCTTTACCTGACTGACATATAGAGAGAACATTACATCCAGAAAACGAATATGCATTTTATCACGTGTGCATGCCATATTCACCAAGATAGAGGATAATTTGAGCAATGATTTCAACATTGGAAGTATTGAAATAGTACATATAAAGTATGTTTTTGGTTTGAGTGCTGGGCATTGAACCCAGAGTGCTTTACAACTGTATTTTATCCCTTTTTATTTTTTAATTTGAGGCAGGGTCTCACTAAATTGCTGAGACTGGCCTCAAACTTATGATCCTCCTTTCTTGGCCTCCACAGTCACTGGGATTATAGGCATGTGTCACCATGCCTAGCTACAAAGTATGTTCTTGGGTCACACCAGAACTTGGTTTAAAATCAATATCATTATATCTTGAGTGGAAAAAATAAGTATTTGCATAATTAGTGGGCTGGGGATATAGCTTAGTTGGTAGAGTGCTTGCCTCGCATGCACAAGGCCCTGGGTTCGATTACTAACACCACCACCAAAAAAAAAGCTCATCTAAATAATCCATATATTAAAGAAGGCTTGAGAAGTTTATAATTTTTAATTGCTTGTGTTAGAAAACATTAAAGATCTGCAAATAGTTATCTAGGTTTTGACTTTAAGAAGGTAGAAAGGGGAGGGACTGGGGTTGTAGCTCAGTGGTAGAGCACCTGCATAGCATATGTGAGGCACTGGGTTCGATTCTCAGCACCACATAAAAATAAATAAACAAAGGTATTGTGTCTACCCACAAGTAAAATATTAAAAGAAGAAGAAAGAGGAGGAGGAGGTAAAAAAAGGACTTACCCAACATGCAGGGCAGGCACTCTATTTCTGGGTTTGACCCCTAGCAATATAAAGAAGATTTTTTTAAAAAGGAAAATCCAGCAATGTATAAAACGGATAGTAAAGCATGACCAAGTAGAGTATATAGAATGCAATGCAGTTGGTTTAACACTCAAAACTTTATGTAGCAGGGCATGGTGGCACACACCTGTAATCCAGTCTACATTAGAGGCTCAGGAGGAGAATCACAACAGCCTCAGCAACTTAAAACCTGTCTCAAAAAATGGAAAGGGATGGAAACATAGCTTGGTGTTAGAGCATCCCTGGGTTCAATTCTCAGTACTGGAAAGAGAGAAAAAAGGGAGAAAAAACTTGATTATACTCTTATTAATATAATTGATCAACAGAAGTGCAGAAGTAACTGAGTAGAGAAAGGATTGTCTTGTCTTTTTTTTCTCCCTTAAATGATGGTGGGACAACTGGATGGGATAAAAACAAACCAGATTATTTTAACAACCTAAAATATTTTCCTAAACTACTCATTTAAAAAATGAGCGAAAGATTTGAATAAATAGTTCATCAAAGAAGAAAATGAATAGCAAATATGCACATGAAAAGATGTTGAACATCATTAGTCATTAGGAAATACACATTAATAACACTGGGTTTGATACCCAGCACCACAAAACAAAATGATGCTGGGGCATGCAGTGATATACATCTATAGTCCCTGCTACTTGAGAGTCTAGGCAGTAGTATTGCTTGAGTGTAGGAGTTTTGGGTCCAGCCTGGGCAACAAGTGAGACTATTCTCAAAAAAAAAAAAAAAAAAAGGTGGGCTGAGGGGCTGGGGTTGTGGCTCAGTGGTAGAATGCTCACCTAACACATGTGAGGCCCTGGGTTTGATCCTCAGCACCACATATACATACATAAAATAAAGGTATTATGTCCACCTACAACTAAAAAATATGTATATTTTTTAAAAACTGATAGATAAGAACTGCTTATGGAAATGCAAAAATGGTACATGCACTTTAGAAAACAATTTGGCAGTTATTAAGTATATGTACTATGCAACCCAACAATACCAATTTCTTAGTATTTATCCACGTGAAATTAAAATGTATATTCACAACAAAACCTGTTTGATTTTTTTATAATGATTTGAGGGTTAGTGGTTCTTGATTGTAGTGGTTACGTGACTGTATTTTTTAACAAAACTCAGAATTGTACACTAAAGTGATGAAGTTTACTATGTATAAAACATGGTTTTTTGAGGAAAGAAATGCTCAGAATCTGAAACAGTCCAGATACATTAACAATGTCAAAGGAATTCCAGTCATTCATTTTAACAAATGTAAAAAAGCATTTGACAAAACTCAATACTCATTTATTAATAAAAAGTCAGCAAGCTAGAAATAGAAGGGAATTTTGTTAATCTAATAAAGGATGTCTAGGAAAAAAACTACAGATAGACTTTCTTCTAGGATAGAGAACAAGGCAAGAATGTTCACTTGTTCACTCTCATCACTGTTATTTAGCATTGCACTAGAAATCCTAACAAGGAACAAGTTTGCGGGTTTTTGCCACACTAGAACTTATTTTTCTTTTTTTGTACCACGGAATGAACCTGGGGGTGCTTAACCATTGCATCCCCAGCCCTTGTTTATTTTGAGACAGGGCCTTGCTAAGTTGCTAAGGCTGGTTTTGAACTTGTGCTTCTCCTGCCTCAGCTTCCTGAGCCACTGGGATTACAGATGCACCTTGACAAGTTAACCTAGAAGAAAGATCTACTATGCAGAATTGTTGTAAGAGTTTAATGAGGTGCTTAAGTAAAGCGTCTATCATCGTCACTTGGATATGATAGTCACTTGCTAGATGAAAATTTTATATTCCTTTGGTGTCTGTATGTGACCTCTGTTGAGGTTAACCTCTTAAACTAAACCAAATCAGAGTGACTTTCTACTCTGTAAAAGCTCAGGGAAGAAAGTAGAGGAAAGAGAGGCATTTGACTAGCTAATTTCCTCCACCAAAGTAATAGAGACTGTTTTAAAGGACATTTCTGAAAACAGATCAGAATCTCTCATCTTTCTTACACAGTTTTTGTTGATAAGATTTTAGTGGGGAATAATTGTAAGATTATAGTAATCAACTTGGTTGTAAGAATTGGTCAGAATGGTATGCTGGCACTTGATGATTTTTTCCAAAATTTTCTCATAGGATATATCGATTTGTCAAAAAGAAGAGTTTCTCCAGAGGAAGCAATCAAATGTGAAGACAAATTCACAAAATCTAAAACCGTAAGTTCATTTTTGAGTCAAATTTGTGCACTATGTTTAATAAATAGCAGCATATACCTTTCCTAGCAGAAAAATGAAAAACAAAACTTTCATTTTTTTGTTACTCTATTTTCAATTATGTGTTACATGGAAATCTAATTTGAAGACTTAATTCCAGAAAAGTACAATTACAATGTTATTTATCTCATCAAGCCACTACCAGAAAGCATTTCTAGTGATCTAATGTTCTCAAGTCAGTACTAGAAGTTAGTGTTTTGAGGCCATTGTAGATTGTTAACTTTGGTAGTGGTAAACAGAATGCCTTTATTTGTTGTTGTTGTTGTTGTTGTTGTTTAATGTGGATCGAACTCAGTGCCTCACACATGCTAGGCAAAAACTCTTCCACTGAGCTACAACCCCAACTCCCATTTTGTTTTTTTGAGATAGGATCTTGCTATGTTGCCCAGGCTACTCTTTAACTCAGTAGGCTTTCCTAGGGTTTCGGATATGACCTAGTGGTAGAGTACTTTCCTGGCATGTGTGAGGCCCTACGTTCAATCCCCCAACACCAAAAAGGGGGGGAAAAAGTGATATTCCTGCCTTAGATTCTCAAGTAACAAGGATTGCAGTCATATGCCACCACATGTGGTAGCTTAGCTTATTTCTTTTCTTTTTTTTTTAATTTTAATTTTAATTTTTTATCTTTTATTTATATATGACAGTGGAATGCATTACAATTCTTATTACACATATAGAGCACAATTTTTCATATCTCTGGTTGTATACAAAGTATATTCACACCAATTCCTGTCTTCATACTTTGGATAATAATGATCATCACATTCCACCAGCTTAGCTTAATTCTGACTGGGATGTATAAAATGTAGTTCTTGTCTTTCAACACTGTTCTCAGGTAAAGGTAGCAAAGACAAATGTTAAAATATCAAAACAGGAACCTGTTATTAATAAGGCGGTTGGTCATTCTCTCTGTCTCTTTCCTTTTGTGATACTGGTGGTGGACTGCAAGGCTGGTTCATTCTAAGCACACACTCTACCACTGAGCTATACCCTCAGTTCAGATTCTCCTTTCTGTTTTTTTGTTTTGTTTTGTTTTGTTTTGTTACATGATAGCAGAGAAAAAGAAATCTTAAAGTTTCAATTGGTTCTGTGTTTTCATATGGAGTAATAAGAACTTATGTTTATATACCAATTTTCTAGAGTATGTGTTTGTATATATCTGATACATGTAAGAGTTTTTTGCAATAGCTCCCTTTCCCAAATGAAACAAATTCAGAGATGTTAATTGGTCCCATTGTCAAAGCTTATTCCCAGTCTTAAGACCCTAAATTGTGTACTTCCTTTATGTGTTATACTCACTTGGATACATTATTATGAGAAAGTGAATATTTCTTTATAGCTCAAAAAAGCTAGTATGGAGAACTTTTGTTGTTAAAGAATTACTGTCAAATTATGCTATCTACTGAAATGTAGCAATAACGTTTATTTATATAGATTTCTTTTCTTGAAATTACTGAGCTTTTAATTCTGTTTCTAGGTTTATAGCATTCTTCGTCATGTTGCTGAGGTATTAGAATATACCAAGGATGAGCAACTGGAAAGCCTGTTCCAGAGGACTGCCTGGGTCTTTGATGACAAATACAAGAGACCTGGTTATGGTGCCTATGATGCATTTAAGCATGCAGTCTCGTAAGAACACCTTGATTCTGCTTGTACTGATATGTCAGCTGTTGGGTCTGGCATACAGGTTGATAGCCCAGCATTTTACTCACACCATCCATTTATTAAGTTCTTGCCATATTTAGATAAAAATATCTTAAGTACAAAAAGGCCCATGCTAGCTGGACATGGTGGCACACACCTGTAATCCCAGTAGTTTGGCAGGCCAACGCAGGAGGATTGCCAGTTCAAAGCTAGCCTCAGCAATTTAGCTAGGCCCTATCTCAAAACTAAAATAAAAGGGGGGATGGGGTCAATTCCTGGTACCAAAAAATTAAACAAAAGCCCCATGCAATAGGACAATCCTACATAGTCAAGTCTTTGTAATTTCATATACAATACTTATATAGTTCATAACCCACTTGCTTTCATCTAACACTACTCCATTATACATTATTTTTATTTCCTGGTTTCATTATTTATTATAGATGACTTCAGACCAGTGTGGATATCTCATCCAAAACTATAATTTCTTATTTACTTTACCTCATTTCTTTGACCTTCAACCATGCCACTTTAGCCATTCTTCCATGTTTCACTCTGGGCCTTTTTATCAGCAGGTTTTGCTGTGCCTCTAAAACCTTTAATCCACATATTCTATTTGTGTGCACCCATGTGTTTTAGTTACTAGAAATTAAACCCAGAGCCTTACACATGATAAGCAAGTGCTCTACCAAACTAAATCACATCCTCAACCCTATTTTATTTTATTTTAAGACAGAGTCTCACTAAGTTGCCCAGCCTGTCCTTGAACTTGGAGTTCTCTTGCCTCAGCCTCCCTCACAGTTGGGATTACAAGTGTGTGCCACCTTGGCATGTATGCATATTCTGTTCTTTCTGTCTTGGCTCCCACTTAGTCCTACTCTGTTTCTTAAATTCTTATATTATAAATGCTTATTCCAAGTCTTAGGACCCTAAATTGTGTACTTCCTTTATGTGTTATACTCACTAGGTTTATACTCTACTCTAAACCTGTTTTTTTCTTTTGTCTTTTCGCCCTTTCCTGTTTTCTCTTTCTTATCCAGTGTAGATACCATGAACTATCATTTCAAGAACTTTCTTGCCAATATCATGAGCTTTTGCCCTGTTTTCCCTTCTGTTACATCCAGCCTTGGAGTGATGTTCCTGCTTTCTTTCTGTGTACTTATAGACTGCTGAGTGCTGCTAGGAAAAATCAGTTTCACAGGTTGGTGCCGCTGTATATTCATGGTTTCCAACCTCTGCTAGATCTTCACTGCTGCCTCACATTCTCTCTGCTCTTTGTCAGTTCTTCCTCCCTTTTTTATAGTGACTGTTTTAGAGCTTTTCTATATTCTTTGTCAGAAACACTCTACCTCTTTTCTTTCACTCTTAGCTGGTGTGTTCACTTCCCTTTTTATTTTACAAAGAAAATAGGAGCCATTGCACAAGGACTCATGTTAGCTTTTCATCACTGTGACAAATAACCTGAGAAAAACAACAGAGGAGGAAAGAGTTCAGAGATTTCAGTCAGTGGTTGACTGGCTCCATGACTTGGGACTTGAGGTAAGGCAGAACATCATGGTTGGAGTGTGTAATAGAAGAAAGTTGCTCACCTCATGGCAGTAGCAGAGAGAGAAGAAGGGGTCAGGGGCAAGATACAGATCCCAAGGGCATACCTCCAGTGACTTTCCTCCAACCAGGTCTCACTTCTATAGTTCCCAGTAATATCTTCAAATTATTAACCCACTGACAGGATCAGAGCCCTGATGATCCAATCACTTCTCATAATCTCCATTGCTGCATTGAGGACCAAGCGTTTAGCACATGGGTCTTTGAGGACACTTTATATCCAAACCATGACACTTATCCACTTATGCCCACTATCATGAACATACTTATCTCTGTCCTACCTGTTGTTTTCTTCTGTGCTCCTGGAATTCATTTCCTTCCTGTTCAATCTAATCTTTGCTACCCTGTGCCCAGCTCCTGCTCAGTGATTTCTGTTACTCCCTCTTTGATCTTCATCTTTTCCCTTTATTGATTTTGCTCCATCAGCATAAAAATATTCTCTGGTTTCTTTGATTTATACTTTTAAAAAAAATGTTTTGACCTTCCCTCAAATTCTAGCAAGCACTGTTTTCATTTAGCAGCCAGAATCTTTCAGTTTTCTGCAGTTGATGTCTCTGTTTCTTTACCTCTTAGTCCTTCCTAGATGTTAATGCTCTAGAGCTGCCTCACCACTAAGATTACTTTCCAACCTTTTTGCTGCCAGGATGTGTTGATCGTATAAACTTTAGAGTGGATGAGCAAGAACTGGATGGATCTAGTAGAGCCCCCAGCATACCATTCCAGTTTGTCTTCATGTGACTTTTTTTTTTCAATCACATTGTAGAAAGGTGGGAATCATAATAATAATAGCTAACTTCACATAATTCTAACAATCTGTGGTTTAGTGCCATTATTATCCCTACTGTATAGTTGAAGAAATTGAGGAAAAGAGTAAATAATTTGTTCAAGGTAACCAAGCCAACAAATCATAGAGCCAGTATTCAGTCCCAGACATTGTGGCTCCATCCAGAGTTTGTTCTGTTAACCATTAAGCACTGTTTATTCTTCTGTTCTGCATTCTTTGATCAGTACATTTTTATTTCTTTATTTGTAGTACAGGGGAGTGAACTAGGGGCACTCTACCACTGAGCTACATCTCCAGCATTTTTGTTCGTTTTTTGTTTTTAGGTAGTTTCTCATTATGTTGCCAGAGTTAGCCTGGAACGTGCAGTCCTTCTGCCTCAAGTTCCCAAGTCACAGAGATTGGAGACATGCCAACCATGCCCAGCCTTTTTTTTTTTTTTTTTTTTTAACTTTTTTTTTATTTTATTTTATGGTACTGAGGATCAAACCTAGATTCTCACATATGCCCAGCAAGTGTTCTCCCATAGAGCTACATCCCCAGCCCAGTCTTTTTTTTTATTTTTTGGCCAGGGATTGAACCCCAACCCCCAACCACTGAGCAAAACCCCCAGCCCCTTTGTATTTTTTATTTTGAGACTTAGGTCTCGCTAAATTGCTTAGGGTCTCTCCAGGTTGCTGAGGCTAGCAAACTTAGAATCCTCCTGCCTAAGCATTGCTGGGATTACAGGCGTGTGCCACCACACCTAGGCAGTCAGTATATTTTCTGGTTCACTGTCATCACTGGTCCTAGCTTGCCCCTTTAGCTTTTGTCTCCAGCACCTCTTCCATTACCACTAAGCCTTGGTATGTATTACTCCCTTTTACTCTTCTCTTGCTTCATCAACCTGTGTAGCAGCTCCCCGGGTTTAACTAATACTGATTCTTTGCTGTGTGTACTTCATGTTTTTCTTTTTAATTAAGAAATTAAACTTCTGAAATCATTAGAAACGGTGTTTTTCCTCTCTAGACCCATTCCCCTCATTTATCAGTGGTAACCTCTATTCTGAAGTTACTAGTGTGTATCATTATCATTTTGTTTTTATGGTTTCATTGTATTTCATTGAGCATCCTCTATCCAAAAATCTAAAATACCCCAAAATCTGAATCTTTTAAAGCACAGACATGAAGCCACAAGTGGAAAATTTCACATCTGATCTCCTCTAATGGGATGCAGTCAAAATCTAGGTACACTGCCAGGCGCAATAGCACATGCCTGTAATCGTAGTGGCTCAGAAGCCAAGTTCAAAGCCAGCCTCAGCAAAAGTGAGGCACTAAGCAACTCAGCAAGACTCTGTCTCTAAATAAAATACAAAATAGAGCTGGGGATGTGGCTCAGTGGTTGAGTGCCCCGAGTTCAATGCCCAATACCCCACACACACACCCCAAAAAATACAGGTACTAAAAATACTATATAAAATTACCTTCAAGATATATGTGTAAGATATATATGAAAAGTAATTGAATTTCATGTTTAAACTTGGATCCCCTCCCTTAAAATACTGTATTCTGTATATGCGGATGTTTCAAAATCTGAAAAAAAAATCTACAACACTTCTGGTTCTAAGAATTTTGGATAAGGGATTTGCAACTTGTACACATATCCATAAAAGTCATGTAGAATAATTTGTATATTTAACATTTAATCTCTTGTATCTTTTTGCCTTATAAGGCTTTACTGAGCAGAATTTCTTCAAATAGATAGATGTATAACTACTACATCCATATTAATTTCCATATAATATTTCATTTTGAGAATATGCTTTGTCTTTCCTCTATTAAGAGATATTTAGCCAGGCACAGTGGCACACACTTGTAATCCCAATGATTTATGTGGCTTAGACCAGAGTGTTGCAAGTTCAAGGCCAGTCTGGACAACTTAGTGAGATCCTGTCTCAAAATAAAAAATAAAAAGGACTGGAGATGGGCTGGGGATGTGGCTCAAGCAGTAGGGCTTGCCTGCCATGTGCAGGGCGCTGGGTTTGATCCTCAGCACCATATAAAGATGTTGTGTCCACCGAAAACTAAAAAATGAATAGTAAAAAATTCTCTCTCTCTCTCTCTCTCTCTCCAAAAATAAATAAAATTTAAAAAAAAAAGGACTGGAGATGTGGTTCAGTATAAAGTGCCCCTGGGTTCAATCCCCAGTACCAAAAAAAATTAAGCAATATTTAGGGGTTTTTTTCTTTCATTCTATTTTCAAGTCATCAGATTTTAGATTTGATTTTCAAAATTACTCTTCAGATTTTTTGTCTAATTTGAATTCCCTCTAACAACTTTGTAGATATTCCTATATCCCCTTATTCTCAACACTATTTGGTGTGTGTCTCAAGATTTTTTTTCCTTTTGCTAATACCTTTTGATTTGCATGCTTCTGATTATTGGTGAGCATGCACATTGTTATTAGCAGCTTATCACATTTATTGATAATTTATTGATAGATGATTCTTCTTTTATGAAACATGTCATTTGCCAACTTTATTCATTTGTCTTCCTTCAGCATCCTAACTATACCCCATGTTATACAGACCTGATATTTACTCATGCTGTTCCTTATGTATCATAACTTTCTGTAACTGTTTTCCCTTTGCTTGTTAAGGTGTTACCATTCTTCCATTCGTATAGCCATGATTTTTTTTTTTTTTAAGACAAGATCTTGCTAAGTTGCTGAGGCTGGCCTCACACTTGGTGATCCTCTTGCCTCACCCCGCCAAGTTACTGGGATTACAGGCATATAACACCATGCCCAGCTTTTCAACTCTAATTCTGACGCTGAAGCCAGTGCTTTATTGTTACATGCATTATTCTGTGGTGTATTGTTTCATGGTTCATAACTATCGATATTGTAACCTTGCCCTTTGGGGTTTTTTTTGTTTGTTTGTTTTGTTTTATCAGAGATCCATCTATTTTGGATAGTTTAGATTTGAATGAAGATGAACGGGAAGTACTTATTAACAATATTAATAGGCGTTTGACCCCACAAGCTGTCAAAATTCGAGCAGGTAATTGACTTCCTAAATGATTTTTAAAAATATTTTGCATGTTCCAAAAAAGCTGTTAAGTAATTTGATTTATCAAAGAGTATGTTTCTGCATCTATGAGTATAAATTATTCTAATATTTTTTACAATAAGAAAAGTTTGAGATTTGGATGCTTTTCCCCTTCTCCAATACTAGAGATCAAGCCCAGGGTCCCTTGCATTCTAGGCAAACACTCTACTACAGAGCTGCATTCCCAGTCCAAGAAGTTATTTTTGCTTCTTCAGAGTCATAAAATGTATATATTGTTGTCATGAATGAGTTCAGCTAACTTGAGGTTAGCCCCTTTTTAAAGTAGGATGAATGATTCGGTGGTAGAGTACTTTATCTAGTGTGTACCAAGACCCTGGATTTGATTCCTAGCACCATGGATGAAAAAGAAAAAAATTTTTTTTTTTTTTTTTTTTTTTTTTTTTGTACCAGGAATTGAACTCAGGAGCACTCTACCACTGAGACACATTCCCCAGCCTGATTTTGTCTCACTGAGTTGCTTAGTGCCTTGCTTTTGCTGAGGCTGGTTTTGAACATGTAATCCTCCTGTCTCAACCGCTGGGATTACAGACATGCATCACCATGCCCAGCAAAACAAACTATTTCAATAGACTATGATTCTGGACTGAATGATTGCTAATAGCTGGAAATATTTTCTTTGAGACATTTTTTTCTATACAAATACTATATAAGAACATACACTAGGAGTAGGGGTGTAGTTCAATAGTAGAGTGCATGCTTCAAGAGGCCCTAAGTTCATTCCCCACCACAATCACCACCACGCCCCAAAAAAGTGGTCTACAGTCATGTATAATTTTTGTTTACAAAACTTTAATCATACCATGTAGAATTTCCACCACCTAGCTTTTTCTGTTGTCACTGGTACCCTTCCATGCAGAGCATAAGAATCTTGTTCTTTTTGATAGCTGGATAATATTTCATAAATTACTCATTTACATAGTTTTCTTTAGGACTAATTCCTAAGAATTGCTAGGTCAAATAGCAATTCCTAAGCAGTTCTAGACAGGTTACTATTAAAGTGTTTGTTAAATTTGTCTTATATAGTTTTGTTATTAGGTGGTTTAATATAGATGAGAAGATAGTTTTACTACATATTCAGATATTTTTAATTGTGAAAATTAACAACTAGGATTGATTTCTAATTGATAGGATGATGGACCTTTTCATAAGCATTTGAATGCTAGTACATTTGCTATATCTCTGATTCTTTTAAACCTTTAAATGTTTCTTGTATTTTTGGTATGAGTTTTTGGATTTTTATAATTTTAGATATTGAAGTGGCTTGTTATGGTTATGAAGGCATTGATGCTGTAAAAGAAGCCCTGAGAGCAGGTTTGAATTGTTCTACAGAAACAATGCCCATCAAGGTGAGTCGTCTTCCACCCAAGGCCCTGGGTTGAATCCCCGGCACTACACATGAGAAAGATCATGTTTTATGTTCTTAAAATTGAATGTCTTAAGGATTTCTTCAGTTTAGAGGCAGTTAGCACCATTGTGCTAATGATGACTATAGTTAGGTCAGCCACCATAGACTCCCAAATCATAATTCTTCCTAGTCTTTTAGTGGACTGTATCATAATACTAGATAATATCATTATATCAGTTAGCTTTTGCTACATTAATAAACATTCCAAATTGCTAACCTACAGAATTGAGAGATGAGTTTTGGGATGATTTGTTAGTGCAGGAGATTAATAAACAAATCCTCAAACATCTTAGTAATTATGTTGTATAGGTACATTCATAATTGAGTTTTTGTCTTCTTTAGATTAATCTAATAGCTCCTCCTCGGTATGTGATGACCACGACAACCCTGGAGAGGACAGAAGGTCTCTCTGTCCTCAATCAAGCTATGGCTGTTATCAAAGAAAAGATTGAGGAAAAGAGGGGTGTGTTCAATGTTCAAATGGAGGTGAGTTCAGTGCTTTCATTTTTCCTTTGTTCTTAAAGTTTGTAGGAAACTTGAGTCACCTATAAATTATTTTTATTCCAAAATACCTGATCACTGCCTTTTTGAATATATTTAGGATTGTAAATCTACTAAATATAGAATGATCATTGATGCAGAGAGTTCCAAAAAAGGGCTTTATAGGTAAATAAGAATTATCAGCACTAGAATGTTTTTGTGGGATGGACATTCAGGCCTACATTCACTGATGATGTTACATCGGTAGAAATGAGAAAATAACAGTAGAAATGAGAATTTATTGTTAGAATTTGAATGTGGGATGTTTAAAATTGGACCTTAGAATTAGGAATAAGCTCTTGTCTTTCCCTCAGCTCAACAAGAATTGAAATATAATTTCCATACGTATACTTGTGTGTATATATGTATGATTCTTTCTCTGAAAAGGAGCAGTAATTTATTTTGCCCAGAAGATACATTCTTTGTAGGATATTTTTGGTCTTGGAGTAATATCCACTGATAACAGTTTTAGATTATAAAGATGATAGAAAATACAGTTCCATTTTAATACACAGTTCTTTTTCTTGTACTTCTCAAATTTCTTCTATTTTTTAACTAGTAGAATCTGTTAGTGTTAAGTCAACACTCAAAAGTGAATAGATATGACAGTTGTTAAGAAAGGAAAGGTTTTTTTTAAGACTTAAAATTAGCCAGGTGCACACCTGTAATCCAAGCTAATCGGGAGGCTGAAGCAAGAGGATCACAAGTTTGGGGCTAATTTTGGTAACTTAGCAAGACCCTCCTCAAAGTAAAATTCAGAAAAGGGCTGGGGATGTAACTCAATGGTAGACTGGCCCTGGTCTGAATCCCCAGTACTGGGGCAGGGAAAAGAGTTAAAACACTAAGCAATGGTAGTATTGAAATTGAATTTGCTATTTAACTATTTCACTTTGAAATTATGCCTCTGCTTCCACAGCCCAAGGTGGTCACAGATACAGATGAGACTGAACTTGCAAGGCAGCTGGAGAGGCTTGAGAGAGAAAATGCAGAAGTGGATGGAGATGATGATGCAGAAGAAATGGAAGCAAAAGCTGAAGATTAACTTTGTGGGAAGCATAGTCTAATTTGAGGAACATGAAGCAGCCCTTCTTGGCTATAAACCCTAGACTTGAAAGTTTTCCAGTATTGAAAACTTCAAAGCCGAATATTTTTTATTTCCAAGTATTTAAATATTCCAACACTGTAAAACATGAAATGCCCTCCTAAATGTCAGCTGTTTTCACACAGTAACTCTGACACGTTTTTTTAAGGGAGCAGCCCAATTTCACGAGAGAAAATCTTTGAGCTTAGAACAGTCCTAAAATTGGGCTTGTGACTTCCATTTCTGATGTCTCCAGATTGGCACCCTTTGAGTTCAGTGCCTCCGTGAGATTTACCAGGGGCCCCCAAAATAAACAATAACAATCCCAATCTTTCTATATAAAATGTATTAAAGCAAACATCAAATAAATTTCTGGGATATTTAACTATAGGCCTCTTCCTTCTTGTCACCAGTTAAAAGCATTCTGAATGAGAAGACCCTAATTCTTTTATCTTTATTTTGGTCTAGATGCAGAAATATAAGAGCAAGTTATCAAAGGATATGTACAACAAACCCTTTTAAGAGAAAATGATTTTAACTCAATCACAGTGATATTGACCCTTAGAGGGTGTAAAGCCTTAAAATGCAATTAAAGAATTACATTGTTATGTGCCTTTTAACCTATTTGAGATTGATGACAACTTGTGGTTATGAGAGTTTATGACACTGGGTCCTTATTGATCTACTAACCACTTGGCTTAAGTTTGATTCATTCAAGATGGTAAAGTATGTTTGTATTTAAAGATGCTGCTTCTTTGATTTACTTATTTTGAGTATCATTACCCAAATTTCGATTTTTTTCACCCCCTTTAGAATATCTGCTAGGTACCACATAGATCTTTGGTTCTCTTTATAACAGAATATAGATTTGTCTGAATGCAGTTATAGTGGGGGTTGTTTTTTTTTTTACATTTTATCTTCAAGAACTAGTTGTTATAAAAGTATATGCACAAAATTAATTTCACAGGTGATATATCTGATGGTACAGCTACAGTAGTCGGGTGTAGAAAATCTTGATTTACTTTGGTGTGTTTGTAGATTTAATCTCTTAGGATATTTGAGGTACTAGTTATTGAACTTTACTGCTAGCCCTAAGAACATCTATTAAAACATAGATCAGCCAGTCGTGGTAGTGCACACCTATAATCCTAGTGGTTCAGGACACTGAGACAGGAGGGGCTCATGTTTAAAGCCAGCCTCAGCAGCTTAGCAAGGCTGTAGGCAACTTGGCAAGATCCTGTCTCTAAATATATGTGGCTCAGTGGTAAAGTGCCCCTGGGTTCAATCCCTGGTGCCAAAAACAAAACAAAACAAAACTCTGCAGATCAAACTTAACTCATCCTAGTCAACCCAGGACTAGATGTAACTCATTACAGCTTTTTTTTTTTAATGCTTTTGGAGTTGGGTGCTCTAGTGTACAGCTATAGTCAGACCTGCTTCAGGAGGATTGCTTAAGCCTAGGAGTTTGAAGCCAACCTGGACAACAAAAGTATGATCGTATCTTTTTTTTTTTTTTTTTTAGGGGAACTGACTAGAAAATACTTAGAAGAACTTATTGGTGAAAGAGTTTCTGCCAATTATGAAAGTTTGTCCGTTTGTTTACTTTGTCAGGTTGTGTGAGCTTTTTAATACAAAGATTTAACTTCAGATGGCCCATTCCAAGAAGTTTGCCAGCCAACTGCCACATGGGGAATAAAATCTGGATGTATTAAAGATTGACACAAAATTTTTACTTCTATATTTGAAACATCAAAGTTTTATAAAAATTCCTAGCATCAAAATGTTACCAAAATACAATAGGTGCTCCTTTGGTGTATGCATGGAAATTGAATGTTTACTAAAGTTTTCATACTTTGAAAGCCATAACTGTTGGAAAATATTGGTGGTTTCCATGGTGACTGATTTTTTTTTTTATCCTATGTGGGCCTTTTACTCAGTTCTGCAACAATTTTGTAAATTGTTGACCCTAGCCAAAGAAAGGATCAGTGTTTCACTGATAAGAGTACGAGAACAGATTAAACTTAAAAGTGTCTATATGCTGACCTAAAAACAGGGACAAGATACATGAGGACAAGGTAAACAACATATTCCTGAACAGCTCGAACAGGACAGACAATGACAGTAGCCTATCCAAATCCTGATTCTCCACTAAAGCCTTTTCATTAAAAATATTCATGTTACCTGTTTATTCCATCTCAGCCTCTGTGGTCAAATGGTTAGTTCTGACAACCAAATTAGCAACAGGTTGAGTCTTTGTTTGTGCATACCTTAATTGAAAATGGTGAAAAGGAAATAGGAAGGTTTGAACTTCTTTTATTTTTATAGATTTTATAGCAAGACAAGCTGATTCTTATACAATGTTCAGATACTTTGGGGAGCTACAGAGATATGATAATTACTATCATGCTAAGCAGAGTTATTACTCAGCTGGCATACCTCAGCCATTTATAATTCACGTGTACATCAAGAACAATTTAAATAGTAGGGATTTTTAAGAAGTTTTAATGCTAGTACCATTTTGCTGATTTGCCTCAAGCTGATGGTCACCTACTTTCCAATTCTTAGAAATCCTATTTCCCATGTAAAGGCACCATTGTGCCAGTTTTGAGATTGGGCAGTCATTAAACCAAGTGTACTTTAATTCAGATAAGCACCAATCAATACTCAAAAAGCAATAAACGTTTTTTAAAAATTGTTTTAAAGCAATAAAATTCAATAGACTTTAGACATTAGCAAAAGGCCAAATAGAAAATGGTGCTTTAAAGGGTAGGAATAAGTTAAAACAGCTTGGACTCCCCAATCCTGGTCAGTTATTATGGGACAAAATTAATAGAGGAGACGGTTCAGTCTTAAGAGGACAAGTTTTTATTTAAGCACTATGGAAGTAGCCACTCCCCTTAAATATAGGTTACATATTTTATTTATTCATTGAAGTCCAAGCACTTGTACTTGGCAAGAACACTGGCAATGGCTTATGCCAGATCACTGTATAAACGTGAAAATAATAAAAATGTTCTTTAAAAATACTATGATACAGACTTTTCACTATTTTAGGTTAATCTCCCAACTGGGGGTGTTCGTTGGTACCTATTTGTCTCAGTGTTCATTCTAAAACCAAAGTTTCTCCAGGAATGGAGGTGCAGGCCTATAACTCCAAGGAGGCTGAGACAGAAGGATCACCAGTTCCAGGCCAGCCCCAGAAACTCAGTAAGACCCTGCCTCAAGAAATAAGGACTGGAGGTTTAGCTCAGTGGTAAAGCACCCCTGGATTCAATTTGCAGTTCAAAAAGTAATGTACCTCAGAGGTAGAATGCTCCTGGGCAAAAAAAAGTGAGTCTTAGTGGCAGATCACTTGAAATGTTTCCATACTCAACTTATGAAACCTTTGAAAACTATAAAACTTTGTTTAGGAGTTAAAAGCAGAAACAAATGTTGGTTTGCATTTGAAAAAAATAAGATGTTGACATTTCAGAGAAAGCTACTTCGAGAGTAGAATTTTATTTATTACAGAATGGCCAGAGTTTCAAAAAGGATGCATGAGGCACTGGGTTTGACCCCAGCACCACATTAAAAAAAACTAAATATACAGAGAGTTCCAAAAAGGGATCATAGCTGTCTATCCTGATGGGCAGAAGTCAAGATACTGATGCCTAATGGCTGTCCTAGAATAGCTTTCCAGGTTGGTAATGGGAAAATAGAGAAGGAAATAGCACCACCACTGGCACCTGAGGAATTCACTCTTAGCAGTCTCACTCCAAAGCAGTGCAAAATGTACAATGTTAAACTTTTTTTTTTTTTTTTTTTTTGATGCTGGAAATCAAACCCAGATCCACTGAGCTCCATCCCCAGCCCAACATGGATTTCCTCCATTCTCAGGAAATCCTGTCTACCATCTGGTAGGAGGAAGAAATCCTGGTCCTGCTCCCCAAGGGTCTTGTCATGTCAGTTTTTTGATAGCTTCAATCCACTCTGCTCGTTCAGCCTTGCTGCTGGCCTGGATATAATAATGTATGTCATCCTTAGTGATCACTTTGAAGAGATTTCCTTGGACATTCCCTTTAACCCCTAGGTAGGAAAAATAAATCAGTGATTAAATATCCATGTCTACTTTCAGCTTGAACCAGATGAAAGTCATCTTGAGAAAGGGACAAATAGGAATATTTCTTATGTACATGGTTAGAAAATCCCATGAGGTGCATGTTTTTGCCTTATCCTTCCTTCTCCCTCCTCATCACCTTAAGGCCTGCTACTGGTTAGTCTGGACATTTCTGGAAATCCTCTCTGGCCCCTTATGCTAGCCACAGACCTACAGCGTCATTCAAAGAATCATCCAAGAATCCAGTATATGAAAGTTAAGAGTAGGCACAGAATATGGTGTCTGACTTGAAATTGTATGACTTTGAACCTCAACTTCCACATCCACAAAATGGGAATATCTTCCTACCATACTGTCTGTTGTAGAATTGATGTGATAACAGATACAAAAGTGCGCTACTAAATGAAGCACTGTGTGAGCCGAGCTATGATTCATAGGTAGGAGTTTATGGGCAATCACAGAATGTGAGGAAAGAGAATATTTAAAATGAGAAATATTGAGTTGTATCCTTAAAACGCTTAAGAACATGCCATATGGACTTTTCCTCTGTTTCTGAAATTGACTTCAAAACTCACACCATTCATTATCTCATTGATTAAAGCCCTACTCAGCACCCAGAGCGCAGTCTTCCATGGCAGGAGAGGGGGATTCCTGAAATGCACAGGAAGGCCCCTGAGATCTTCAGGCCAGGACTGAAGCTGCACCTTACCAGTGGGAACGCCATTGTCCTCCAGAGCAGACACCAGTGAACCACGAAGAGAAAACCCACCCACTGGCCTGTTCTCTTCCTGCAGAGAAAAAGATCTAATTAGGATTTGTGAACGCACAAAAAGGAAGAGTTGCACTCTCCCCTATAATCATCCTCAGGCCAGTTAAAGAAGGATTCCAAGTTATGTGTAGGGCGGGGGGTGTAGATCAGTGGTTGAACATTTGCCTGCTGGGTTCAAATCCCAGCACCGAGGGAGTCGATAAATTATAATAGATGAGGCTAAATTTGAGCATCATGTGTCCAAGTTACTGCCAATAAGGAAGTTTGGGCCTCTTCCTTTCATACCCAGTAGCAGGAGTGCCACCAACATTGCTGTCACCAGGTCTAGCAGAGTTAAATATCAATCTGTTTCATTCTTGGAGATATCTCAAACTGAGCCTCTGATCCAGTACTACCAGGAGAAACATGCACCAGTTCCTTAACCCTCTTGTGTGTCTTGCCAAGCAATCAGAAAAAGACATAGTCATACTTCTGAACACTGATATTCCTGCATAGGAGACACGGTTATACAAGTCTCTGCTACATGGTGGATATGAAACTGAATGAAGCAAAAGTGGCTTGTCTGAATGGTTCAGACAATTACACACCAGGAGCCTCAGCCCCCTGGGTCCCTTCAATTAATCAATAATGAATTTCACAATAAGTGGTGCAGGCAGCAAGAAATAGGGCAAAAATGAAATGGTTAAGTAACAATGCCAGAGATGATGATACTGATCATGCTAAGGAAGGGACAGTCCAGGGGA